TTGGAGAGTCAGCTGGTGCGGCGAGTGTCACGTTGCAGTACCTCTCACCCGAGTCTCGTCCGCTCTTCCAGCGCATGATTGTTCAAAGTGCAAGCGCTCTCAACAGATGGGCTTTGTCCACGAAATCGGTGGCTCACGATGCCGGTCTTGCAGTAAGTGAAATGCAAACAAGCGAAATGAGGCTAAGGCAGAAATGTAAATGAATAAAATCCAGCAATGCTGCGCTTTCTTCAAGCATTTAACAAATTCAATCCAAGCTTACAAACTTCGCAAGCTCTTATGGTTTTACGTGCGTCACCATTAACACTAAATCAAATTTCTGAAGTTAACCGGTCTACTGTAGGCAACAATCGCATGTCATCCTAATTCTAACGTGTTTATTCGCATAAGTTTCAGGAGTTGTTTCCGAAAATGCATTTTTAAATGTGCAGCGTAGCAAACGGAGTAAAGTGTATGTCGCCCGTTTAGTCGCAGTTATGCTTCCTTGACCAAGTGAAACGCAGTATTTTTTGCCCATCCACTCAGGTACACTTGTGTTGTGCAAAAACACGTCGCCGCCACTACACTTCGTTATGCCAGTTGCCCATTCATAACTAATCCTTTCGAAGTAAATTGAAACTTCAAGACTTAAAACTGTATAATGGGTTTTCTGTAATGATAATATCGATTTTTTAAAGCACATTCCAAAGTAGAAGTGAGTCCCATCTAGTAATGCAGATGGACTTAATTATACTGCTTGCTAGACAGAAATTCCCGAAATTTAGTTCTGCTTCTGCTGGTAGGAGTGCTTAGGCTATTGATTTGAAGATAAACAAATTTTATGAAAGGCGTATCTTTAGCGCAAACCACAATTCCTTGGTTTTTTGGTTGTACACTTAAAATATGCTTATCTGAGTGATTTAAAACAGGTCACTTTGTAGGATTAAGCTCCAAATCTTGTCATTTTTGCACTGCAAATTAGATTGTCAGTGAAAATCTCAACAGAAATCTTTGTTCCTCATTCCCTATGCCCATAGGTTTAATGAATCTAACATTGAAGCGTTCCACAGCACAGTTGCAAGTGGTCCGTAAACAATAAATTCGTAACATCTAATCACAAATAGTGCACGTTTATTCCGAAGCATGTGTACCAGGGGCAAGTGCATGCGACAGGCAGTGACTGCGAAAAATTCCAGATGATCAGATTCTCTAATTATTCAAAATTTAATTACTAGGTCGCCACCAGAATGTTCACTTTTATGTGACATGTCTCATATCTTTGTTGCGGGCTCTGGCATGTTGGTTTAAGCCACACCGGGGCCACTGGTTTGCAACTAGATCGATTACGCTACCCTGAGTACCCGCGAAGGTAAAGAAGACCGGAAAGGGATGCGGGCAAAACTGTTTACCAAGTTGTGTTTTGCATACTGATACAGTTGAGTTCACTGGACAAGATACATGCGTCATGGTGGTCACATGGATAAAGCGGGTGGTCGTGGTAAACAGGCGTTTCCACGTGACTGACGGACACGCCGTGAAAAGGGGGCCTTGTGTGGGAGGCTGTGACGACGAGGTTATTGGACGTGAATCCACACGATTCACTATATCTTTACTATCTAACACTGGAAATTGTGTTCCACAAGTGTCTCTTTTTATACAATTTGCTTGATTTATAAAACAAATTATGGCATTAACCGGTTACAGCAATATAAGGTCATGATACTGAACTTTTATATCCTTATCAAATTCGTAATAGTGTACTTTCAGGATTAATATTCATGTGCGTGACTTGCAATTACAGTTTAAAAATCAATTGACAATGTTTTACTTATATATTCAGCACGTTTATAGTGCGATGTAATGTAAAATCAAACCTCCGAATCTGGTAGCTTCAAGACCATAAGCTAGAAAAATTCATGCGTTTCACACTACAACTGACGTTTGATCAGTTTTTTGGTAAAATGAATGATTTTTAGCACTATGTCCAAAGTGATAGTCTACGATTTCACAAACCGCATGTTGTGAATGCCAGGTCAGACAAAATCGAGGAGTTTTACACTTAAGGCCGTTTCAGCTTTCACAGTTGTGGAAAAACACCCGTTCATGATTTAATTATTAGGTGAAACATGAACTGGAAGAGAGCTCAGAATGCTCCTTCATACTCATCCAAAGCCCATTTCAGTCACCAATTAACAAACACGAGTGAAAGAACCGATGCATACTGTGGACACGGAAATTCACTTACTGTGTGCTTGTTAAAAGTACTTGCACATAAAGACGTTGCCAACTAGGGCCAATATGAAATTATTTCATTAAAAAACTGGCTGTAATTCTTTGGACTTCTTTTAGTTTATTAAAACCAGCAACTGCTCAACACACGGAACCGTAGCGAGAGCAGTGGAATGCCTCAGAAACCTGCCAGCTGAGACCCTGTTTGACAGACTGTATGAGCTGTCCATTGCATCAGCAGCTCGACGCGAAAAACGCCTCGCATCGCTTTCTCTAGCACAGTGGCCTGTCAAATTCCTCTCCTCTGCTGCTCAGTACTTCGAGGTCATCATGCGTCCCGTTCTTGATGGCAAATTCTTACCGGATTGCCCGACAACCTTGCTCAAGTCCATTAACGAGAGCCAACCTCCAGAGGTTTTGATCGGAAACATGGACAAAGAGGGCATGTACTGGCTGTTTTATGGACTCGGAATAAATAGCATCGATTTCCTCAGTAAAGAAGGCAATGTTACTCGTCCAACGCTCGATCAGCTGAGAGCAGTCGATATAGATTTCTTTCAGCTTGTCCAGACTAGGTTCATGAGTGTGGGCTATCTAGTTCCTCAGTTTTCAGCAATCACCACAGCTCAATATGGACTAAATAGCCCTTTCGTTAAACAAATCACGGGCTATGACACCGTTGTGCCATACAATGAAACAGGGAGTGTGACGGACTTCCTCAACCGACTCGACGATTTGAGTGGAGAAATGGACTTTGTTTGTGGCACTCAACTGTTTGCCAAACTGCTTGCAGCCATTGCGGGTGCGAAGGTGCAGTATTACAACTTCATGCACAAGACTGTGGGCAGTCAGTTTCCGGCGTGGGCGGGTGCGATGCATGGTTACGAAATCGAGTACGTATTTGGCATGCCATTTTCGAGTGAATTCCAGCAGAACTTCTACAACTTTACGGAAGAAGAAAGGAATCTGAGTGCCACAATGATGCGATACTGGGCAAACTTTGCGCGGTCTGGGTAAGTGTAGAGTGCGTTCGGTTCGGACGTCACTTAGCACAGTACGTAGACTCCTACTAATATCATAGTTTCATTAATAGACTTGTGAGTGCTTTACCAGTGATTGAGGAAACTTTTTTGGTGCTATCAACCAACCTGTTAAGTATCGATTGTTTATTAAATGCCTCTTCAAAAGTCGATAAATTTATTCAATAAAAATAGCTGTAACAATTTTTAATTTTTTGTCAGAACTATTTGCTTGTTTTATTTCTACACGTCAACAGAAATGCGACAAGCAATCCTGATGGCACCATCTCTAGTCCATCATGGCCAGCATTTGATGCAAATAGTAAAACGTACATGGAAATTGACTTGAATGCGTTGACAACTAAGCAGCGGCTTCGAGATAAGGGCTGCACCTTCTGGTCAGGTGTTTTCCCAAGCCTGGCAAGGATTTACCTGAGGCAAACGAGAATTGATCGGTTCTTTGGAGCAAAACAACTTATATTTTGTCCTCATCTAGAAGTTGATCTCTACGCTGTGGAACCTCTGCAACATTTTGTTATTGGTGGTAAGTTTTGTCTACTATCAAAGGGTGTATAACTTGTTTACCAGACGTAGCGCTAAAAAGATACTTGACAGTCTTATTCAGGTTAAAAACGCGTTTTAGGCAGGCGTGCTAATTCTCTGTGCCGAGACGTTTGTCAAGGACATGGGAGAACACGTGAAGTCGCCCATTAATGTGCATGGTTTTATTCAACTATACAAAATTTGCCTCCATATCTCAGTTAAAAGGCTTGTGCTCTTTTTGTTAAAACCCTAATGGACCACATTATTATCCCGAGTTAAATAAGAGCTATCTCGGCTTATCTGACCTCTTCTTATATAAGAATAAGGAAAATTTTCCTTTTTTTAATTAGAAATCGTTGGTGCAAATAGGTAAGGGTTTGTCTCAGCAACATTTTGAGCTGCTGCATCCTTACTGTCAGAAATCCCTTTCCCACTAATACATCATTTGTTGAAACAAAAAAAACTATTATTCATTCAGCAGGTTTTTACATTTGGATGTTGGCCGATTGTAATGTATGCAATATTTAACTGATTATTTTGCAAAAATTACTTTGTTTGATCGACTGATGATTTATAGAAATTTAAGCCATACTGCTATGTGTTCAAGGAGTTAATATCTCAAGAGAGCGCTATAATCACATGTTAAAATGACTTTAGATAATCAACTTCACATTTGTAACGTTCTGGGCCTGCTTAACTTTCAAATATTATGTGGAATTTACGCCCTGAAACAAATAAACAGAAGAGATGCTCAAAACTTAGGACGTCGTTCGAGGCACATCGCCACAACACTTAAACAGACGAACATAAAAAGATTATAAAACATCCATGGTACCAGATGACTCGCACAAATCCATTTCAGAGGTAGTAAAATGCGACTTCCCACTTGCGAAGCCACCAAATACGTTTTTATTAAATGTTCGACAATTTTCAAACTTCACTAATCCAACCTAGAGTTCTCTTACTGTCAGGATGCAAACGAGCACGTGAGATCATGCTGTTACTAATTTCAGCTGATCCTGACGGCTGTGAACACCTCCTCGCAAGATGGTGTTACGTGCTGTTGCTGATCTGGGTGTTAACTTAGAAACTGCCGACGGTGCTTCTGGCCTCGCATTTTGTTCGAACGAAGTTATTCCGACGTGGTTCTTCTGCAAAACTTGAGATAATTATCGCCCTGCCCAATTTGTGAATTATTACCGTCACCTTGTTTAAAGCGAATATTCAAATTAGTTCTGTTCTGTAGTGCAGATGCTTCCCGCCAATTTGGTGTCCAGGGATATTTCAAGGATGCGCTTAATTATTTCTACGACATTGCATCAACTCAACTGTTGGACTTACAAATTCCCAAAAGATTTGTCAGTAAATCTGTATTACCAAATTGTTTTTAATATAGTAAGTGTTTTACAACATCTATCAAATACGTTCCTTACTCTTGGTAAATTGTTTCGTGCATAACTGTTCAGTGTGAATTACCACCATAGTAACAGTCATTAGGAGTTATCGCTGTCCACGCTTACAAAATTAGCAGATTAATTATTAAACTGAAGACACCACTAACACTTTTTCTTTCTATTAATTACAGTTTTACTTTAGCTTGGTTAATTTAATCATCCACACTGCCGTTTTTTAGCTTACACCTGCATTAACCAGCCTTATTAGTAAACCTTAAGCTAGTCATTTAAGCAGACTTTAGCACTGCTTATTGAACAAATTAACTTATGCATTAATTAAAAAAATTATAAGCTGTCGCAATTTTATAAATCTGCTTTTGATGTTAAAAAGAGAATTTTTTTTACAGAAGGATGTACCATTAGGATTTGGCTCCTGTATGGCGTTTTAACATTACTGACAGATGAGAAGTGCTCCAAAAGTGCTTTGACAGCTCATTTTACAAGAAATCTTGTCAGCTTTCTCACTGATATTTTGAATTTATGTAGGCACTAAATGCCACCTTACCTGAGTTAGCTATCTTCTGTAGTCAGCTAGGGCATATATGTACGAATGTATAAGATATAATAAATTGAACATCCATAGGTTAAGGAAATTCTATGGTTTTAAGCAAATTAGCAGTTTAGCGAATCGTCAAAAATGAGCTAAATGAATCGAGTCAGATCGATTTATGGGCCATCTAAGCACAACGTTGATTTTTAGCTTGTAGAAGGCCAAACTTGTTCAATAGCTGGGTCACCATTTGTTGAGGGCTCGGTGCGGTCTTGGGAACCACACCAGGGCCGACGATCTGCGTCGACAAGATCCGTCCGAAGAAAGAGAAGGAATGCAGATAGCGCGCAACTCAATTGGTTTATTGATGCGGTAGTGGCGTGTGTGTGTGTGTGCAATGTACAAGATAGCAAGTCAGTTTTTAGAGGATCGGATAAACACCGATCCCTGGTTACGTGAAATGCATTCATGTAAGCCAATTGAACCATGTTTGCTCACGGTTGGTAAGTGCGTTCGCTTCCCACTCGCCACAAACTCAACCGCCAGTGGGCAATACCTAGTTATCTTGTTATTTCCCGGTCTTAACTCATTAATGCCGGAGTGGTAAGTTGCAACGCGACACGCTTTTGAAAGTGGACGTTGATTTCCTAGTAAAGGTGTCAAGCAGGATACTCTCAACTAAGTAGTTTTGCTGGGGAACGTGAGGAACCAAATTAATTTATGAATGGATAAATAATTCAACTAACTTGATGCCGATATCGAGGGGCTTGTGCTTTTCCTGTGCAAAATCAGTTGTCTGCAGGTAGGAAAGCAATTCCTGTTTACAGTGGAAATCTGCATTTGCCTGCCGAACCCTCGTTCAGATGAACTTTTACTGCACTTACCAGATTGACTTTAAACATTTGTCAAAAAAACTGTGTTTGCAATACTGTTTACATTACTCCGTGTGACTGGTGTGGCGTAACCTGCTTTTATAAATCAAATTTAGGTGACTTTCAATACCTGTCATCCCAGGCAACTTTTGTGAACAGCATAAAATCATATTTGCTATATGTAGGTTTGCGAAGTCACGATACGCTGCTACATAGGTGTGTTTATGAATGTGTGATAGACTTTAGAATGGCTGCAAATGCCTTCGCTGCCCTCATTTACATTAAGCAATGAGTTTCCGATGGCTTAAATTCTTACCGTGACTACACGACACAGAGGCTGTTTAATCAAGGTTGCATTAATTGAAAACTTTTCCTAAATTCTGTATACTGTGGTTACTCGGGGATCAGATTCGTAACCAGCTGTAGCTAAACTGTCTAAATTAGCTTGAAGACTGCTTCAACTGTTTGAGGATGCTGCTCTAAGTCAGGTGAGATGGATTGCTCGACTTGAATGCGGTGTCAGCAACTTCGTAGACTAATGAATATCCGCACAATATTTGATCTATCTTTCAAAACAAATAAACTTTTAACGCTTACCTGTCCCTTCCAATGGAGAGTACTCAGCTTTCCTCCAAGTTCACAGTTGGTGGGACCAGCCATCGTAGGTTAACTCTGCGTGCATAAGGTAGATTTCTTGTGCTCTGTGTTACTTTTCAGGCGAATTCATGATGAAAGGAACAGATTACCTCGTGCAGTACAAAGAAACCTTCCTGGGCGCCGAGCTATGAATAATAAAATGCAAAAGTACAAATTGGTGGGGTAATTAAGCCGTAGCAAATTTGGCAAATGTTTATAAACAAACCAAACCGTAGGCCAATTCTGGAATCAAAAAAGTTGACTCGTTGCAGAGAATCTATGTGAATTTACAGTGCTGTCACGCACATAATGAATTCCTTTAATTTTGGCCTGCCAACATGACCTGATCCAGTTTGTTCCTGCGCTGATCATTTTGTGCAAAATTCTGACCACTTTACAAGAAAGCTCGCCAGCTTTCGCATTGACATTTTGAATTTAGGCCGGCATTAAATGCCGCCTTACATGAGTTAGCTATCTTTTGTTACACATGTGTACAAATGTATAAAATATGAGACAGTGAACATCCATACCTAAAGGAAATTTAGTGGTTGTGGGTAAATTAGCAGTTTATGAAGGAATAAATGTTTCACCTATCTAGATGCTTATATCAAGGAGCATGTGCTTTTCCTGCGCGAAATTCATTGGTTGCAAACAAGAAAGAAATCACCGTTGGCAGTGGAAATTAGCATTGGCTTGCCAAACCCTTGTGCAGATGAACTGTTACTGCACTTACCAGACTGATGAATCACAAAATATGACCGTTTTGGTAATTGCAGTTTGTGCAAACTTTCGTGGGAATTTAAGACGAGTTGCCATGTGCTTTTTTAAAACAACCGGCATGAACACACAAATGCATTTTTCTTGTCATCTTCACAAATTTGATTGCCAAATCGTCAAATCCATGGCACCCAAACCGTTCGTTTTGGGGAAGGAAAAGTGCTACAACCACAAATCGATGCACAGTATGTTAAAAAACCCTTTTTTAATGTTTGAAGAGCACAGCGTGTTATAAATTGTTGTGGAATTTGGAGTACCTTTCATCATGTGGGGGGTACCAATTGTTGTGGGCTCTAGCATGCGGTCTTGAACCATGCCGGGGTCACTAAGTTAACTCTGGCCCGATGAAGAAAGTGACCAGAGAGAACGTGGACACAACTGTTCGCTTCAGAGCTCAACCAAGTTTGTGTCGCTGTGTCGTGTGTGGCGTTTGCACGTGTGTATTTATACCCCGGACGTGTGTCATACATGCACTAACATCGAGACCTAGGTGCGAGGATAACTCAAGATAAATATTTCTGCGAATGAGGGGGAGTTGAGGATCCGCGCGGCTGGCGACATGCTGCGAAAAGGGGGATCCTGTGTCGGAGGCTGGAATGATCGAATTAACAATAGTGGATCAACGAAATTCACAACACGATTATTCCTTCATGGTTCTCGAAAACTGTGAAAATCTTTGTACTTCTCAAATGATTTGCTTTGTGAATAATTCATTTATTTCATAAAAAATGACCAGCTGACCCAAGCGTAATTTTCTGCTGCAAATGTAAACAGCAATTGCTTCTTTAAATGCGAAGATTTCTGAGTGAACTCTTGAAACCTATTCATTTATAACTAGTTTTGCAAATTAGTTTTTGTTAAGTATGCTTGTCCGGTTTCACTACAATATGACTCGTTCTAGCTGATATGCTCAGGCAGACTGATTACATTTAAAGAGTTTGCTCAGTGTATTCCAAATAATTGTCACCATAAAACACTTCTAAATTGAGGAGTACGATCCAGCGATTTAAGCAGTAGAGAAAAGATTTAGATGATAGAATCAGTATTCATCACAGTTTTTTTCAGGTGCATTATTTTAATTTTTCCGATCCTGCAAGAGGAAGATGTAGCGCGTTTTCAACTGCGCATGGTAAGATAGTATCTTTGCATTCTAAGTTAGCATATGAAAGTAGCGTAAATATATTTTGCGCGTTCTACATTCCACATCTTCTTACCACACGTCGTCACAATTGCAGTCTAACAATCTGCAATTTATTATGAGTAAAACTTCTCTCATTTTTACCGGTAGGAGATTGAATATTTCGGCCTAAGAAAGATGGCTTTTGCAAATAAACACCGAATTGTTCGTATAATTATTTTTATCGCCACTAAATGCTCTTCTTATGGTTGTAAAGGAGTGCATTAAATTCAGAAATATAGACCAGAGCGAATCGATTACAAAATGACGTCTATTTTGTAAATTAAAATGAAAAAAATGAAATATGATTATTTTATATTTACTGAACCAATGTTATCTCAGAACAAGGAAATCCAATCCACGACAACTTCATTAATGAGTCGAATTCAGATTTATAATTTCAGTAGGCAAAATGGGCGCAAACGATGATAAGGAGGTTTTATTGAAGTTTCTTCAAAGTGTTTAGTGTAAATTTCAGGGTATTTTAGCTGTTGAACTAGTAAATAATTGCGTGTGTGGCATGGACGGAAAGGCTCAAACGCTAAAATTAAAAAAATGTTGCGAGTAAACATTTTAAATCACGCTCGTTTGTGCTTATTCTTTCAATAATTTTTGTAATATAAAGTAAGTCAAAAATATGCAAAAAATCAACTTATTTAAAGTATTTGCAAGTCAGGATAATATATTGTACTTATGGTCTTGGTGACTAAATTCGGTATAATTTTGTAAATAAAATCTTAACCATAAAATAAATGAATTATTGACGAAAGAGAAAACTCTTGTTCTGTATTTCACTTCCAAGAACAAAATATATCATGGCATTAATTTTTATGCCTTATAATTTATCATTTAGGTCATGAAAACTAATGGAGCATTGGTGGTAACAATTATGAATTCCGTTTTAACACGAAACGCCCCACCGATTAATTGTTAAGAGTAGAATTTATGAGTTTAGTCTATAGATCATTAATGCTAGATACATATCATAGGTTTCCTGAAATGCTACCAAGGAGTTTTCGTGGGCCTTAAAACTAATGAGAAACTTTAAAACAGTTTGGGCCTAAATAGACAATGATGGTTTTATTACATTAATAAGAAAGCCTTAGATGAGAAACACCCAGATTGCATTCGGTCGCAGGACGCACTGTGAGCTGAGTGCACACAAGCAGTATATTCATAACTGACGATATAATAAAAGACAAAAGTCGATAGAGCTGATGGATTCAAGCCAGCAAATGTTTATATGCTGCTTTAATAACGCATGACAATTATAAAACATGTTATTAGTAGTAATGAAAACTATTTTTACTGGTGAAATTAATTGGATTTGTCCATAAATATGCCTTAGGCGTTGTATTTTCTCCTACACCAGTTTCTGGTGCGTTGAAAACGGACCCTTGATAGTTGCACAAAGGCCTCTTTATTAAAAAAATTCATATAAAAACAAATTAGAAATTACTGATTTACATAACAATCCTAAATGCTATTTTCAGTCACTATAGTTAGAAAATAATTTCCTTCGCTAAATCTACCGCACCAAGTATTTTGAACATTTTGAAATAAATTAATACATCAGATTATTCTGAAAGATTTTGAGCGCATTTGTTCTACACAGTGGCATTTGATTTAGCATCATACAATTTTAAATAGCAAAAATGGACTCATCGCAATTTTTTATATTTAAGGAAAACTTAAGCGTAGACTTTCAGTGTATTCATGGCCCTTCAGTACCAACATTCCAGCAAATCAATTAAAACAACAATTACCTACCATTTGAGTCAGCATTATTGTTCGATATAATATCAAGTCATCAAAAAGACCTATTAGATGCATTAATTGAAGTATTATGTGCAAAAAGCATGATTTACAAAAATTTGTAAAATTATATTTTTTCGTTTGAACCGACAATATATATTTGCCCAAACTTTAAGTCAAACGTTAATTCTTCATTTCCATATAATTGAGTGCAATAGAACTAAAAATCAACCCATTTGGGGTTTATTTTGTTCCTGAATTTCTTTTAATCCTGGGATGTGTACGCAAATGCATCCAGCTGCATTATTCTAGAGGACATAGCCGACCTAAAGTTAAGCAATTCATAAGTATATTATTTACATCAACTTCTATTCTCTTATTAAAGAACCTTTATATCTAGAGTTTTTGTTGCTGAAAACGAAAAACTAGCATATCTTTCACTTGACTGTAGATAGATATAACTGATTGTGTTTCACAATCGAAATTGCAACTTGAGGTTAAAACTTAATTATAAACATCAAAGTCAGTCCTTCAGGAGTGCTTCAATTTAAACTTATTAAATTAAGCAAATATATTTAGAAGCCATTGCTGGAGCAGGTTTTGCTTTAAGTACAAAACAATACGTGGTCCTATAAATTAGATTGTCAACTTAAGAAATTTTGCAATGTTTACAGCAAAGATGTCGACAGGGACGAGTAAATTTGCGCGTAAATTTTAAATTTTCGTGTTAATTTTTAAAAAAATGGCTTATATAGTAATAAAATATAACCTAATCTAAGTTGTTCAAGTATCCTTTTTACTAGAATTTGTGCTTATTCAAGGTTGCAGGATGGTGAGAGCGATGCTCAAATGTCATTGGTGTTACTGCGAGGACAAATACTAGTTTGTTTATGTTTTCTTTGAAGTAGTAAGTATAATTTTATTCTAAACTTATCTTTAAAAGGCACTTTGTGAGTATTGTGGTCTTGTTCATTAGTCCTTACTAATTAATTTCTGTCAGGAATTATCGTCGACTTGCATTATTTCCTTGTTCAGATCTGCATTTTTTTCAAAATAGACAACACAACAACTTAAAAACCGCTATTAAATTATAGATGCCTTGGACGGTTCCATCAAATGTACTGCTGCTGCTTGTGATCATTATTGGTAAGTTCGAACATATAAAGAATCAGTTAGCTTATTTTGCCTCTCGCAGACAATGCTTTGCAAAATGTGACATTTGTGCTAATACGTTTGCTTAATTAATCTTATTTTATGTAGTAACTTTTAAGAGACATATAACGTGTCACGTCAAGCAAATAATAGTTTTAACTGTTCTCCTCTTTGAAGTTGTACATTGTTAAAAATTTAAATTATTGAATAACTTTAAGTTAATATGCCTAAATGACCTTAAACCAATGCATATAGATAGTACACAGTACTTTTTACTGACTTTTATGTCTGTTGTTTTTGTAATTTGCAGTAAAATTGTTCAAAACCTCTGCTTTTAAATTGAGATTTTACCTGCATGAAAAACATCCAAAAGCCATGTAAACCTACTTTTAATTACCTTCTGACTAAAATATATCATGGTTTCAATATGACATGCAGTCTTTAAAGCAAACAATATTTTACCGTCCATTAAGTAGTTTTTTTAAAAAAAAAATAGTACCCAATTTTTATGTCTGAATTAAATTGATGTGTTTGCATCATCAAGTGATTTAAAAACGTAGGTTCGCTACCTAATCTCTATTGTCTATTTTTGGATTTGACTGTACTTAATTCGCCGTTGCATAATTTGTCTGCAGGTTCAGTTGGCCTAGAACCTCCTACACACGACCGGTGAGTTTTGGCATTGTTTTTTTAGCGGCATTTTGTGAACCAGCAAAGATCTCAACATTTCAAAATGTCGAAATACAAATATACAAAATTATTCCTGGGTATCCTAACTTCAAGGAACTAGATATTTAGATAAATGCTTTGTTGTTTATACACTATAAATAACTTTACTTGAATTAAAGGAAGTGGAGATTTAATTGGGATTTCGATAATATGTTGTGTGGGAGCGGAATAATCTGAACCTACAACAAGTTTTGCTGGAACAAAAAATGGTCAGGGTTTCAAAACCAATGTCTAATGATTGGTTTATTGCAAAAAAATTTAAAGTCTTCCACCGGTTAAATGAATTTGATCGCGTTTCAGTGATGGCCATGGAATTAAGAATCCAGTACCTAGGCCAAAATCTAATTTTGTTAATCTTATATTTGGGATTTTAATCCAGTCATCTTACAAAACGGTGCTAAATGTCCAGGTATCATTAGAACTAACCTGGCAGCATTTATTTCGCCAATCGTAGTATTTGAACTCTATCCATCACAACAATTTGAGATGTGCAAATCTATTGTTTTATCCTATTTAACAAATGATTATTAACATTGAAAGCAACATTTTTTTAATGGCTGTTTATACAGAATTTAAAATTGTTAACAAATTGTAAAATATTTAAAACGGACATGCTTAACATTCTTAGATGATAAAAAGCTTCACTGGTCTAAACAGATTCAAATAACAGCAATGATGCAGTCACATGTTTTTCATATTTATGGTTCTGTCTTTTCGCGTTTGAGTAAAATTTTCAGGAATTCAGGTAAAATTTAGCCTTTGATTTGCATACTCTGATCAAACTGTAACACGGGTCTACATAAGCAAATACAAGTGTTTTTTGCAAAAACTAACCTTCAGAATACATCCTGCTACTTTTTTCGCCTCAAAAATTGTAAAGCATCCTGCATTTTATATGGTTAGCCTAACTTGTAAGATTACTGACAAATCTGAATTCGGCATTGAGGCACTACTACTGACCTAAACCACCTTTATGTGGCATTAATATTGCAATAAAATCAAAGAAATTTAACATTAGTTGTGTCCAAAAATTACAAAAAAAGTAAAAGCGATAGCCACATTTCCTGGCCCAATATATACTTAAAAATTTAACTGACTTATATAAATTTTAGCATTATGGACTTTCCGTATCTTGGAAAAAGATCAAATTTTGTTAAAATGGCTAATGATTTAGCTAGTTTAATCCCCCCTTTATCAGTGAACACAGTGGAGGTAGTATATTCTCAAACTGAAAATCTTCTCAAAATTAAACAATATTTGAAGAGGCCAGTTGAGTTCATGCGAAATGCACGTCTTTATCGTGTACTCAATATTGTGCACGCTGTAATGTGAAAAACATCATATTTTACTGCACAATCTTTCTGACACGGGGTTTAGGACCGTTGGTTGAGAACATTATGGTGGCAGACCACTGCGATATCTGGGTTCCTCCCATAATAATCCTGATTTTTTGTTTAATCAGTAAGGTTAATGCTCACCTTCATGCAAAAAAAGTCATTTAAATTTAAATCCATATCGTACTTACAAACTTTGTTATGAAAATCTTTTTCATTACTTCGACTATTGACAACGTTTCCTCATTTATCATCACTTTGTATGCCTACAGGGGTAGACCAGCAGACCACGGAATGTGTTAGTAGCAAACATTTAAAAATGTTTTGGTGCTAAATAGGGATGTGCCAAATGCCAACGCACTTAAAACATTATTCACTGTCATAATAAACCAAGCGCCTCTACTGAACGCGGTGAAGTGAGCTGGAATGCGCAGTTGTTCAAAGAGCTTCTTCCGTTTATGGAAGTGGAGCCTTAATTGGGCTGGTGGCTGGTCATAAACCAAGTGTAATGTCTTTCAGACGACCATTTTTAACTAACTGCTGTTACAATTTGTTCTATTGTTAACTTTTTACATCATTGTACAAAAAAAATCACGAAGTCGAATGAGACCTCCTCTTAGATGTTGTAAGCGTTGTGTAAAGCACTTGTGATGTCTAGTTAAAGCAAGCACCGTTAACCATGGTGAGGGATTACAGATAATTGTTGAACAAATTTACAGTAGTCATGATCCGGGTAAGTAAAGTGACATGGTGGATGTCCGTGGTAGAAAGGAATTGAAGGTGCGTCTATGGTTTGTTGTGTGACTGTGACCTAAAACTGTTTTCAGCATTCTACCCGACGTTCATCATAGCAACCGATAATCGAACCAGCGCTCGCTGTTTGTTTGATTCAAAGCACGTACCTTTGGTTTCCTACTTATAAATTCCGAGTACACGGATTTGTTTATCATATCTCACGCAATTTAATCAAACTGTCATTTGCTCCTACAATGTGTTACCGAATAACTTGAAATAAAGCCTTTTTGTTTCTGCTCCTTTTTAGAGCCACCGCATCGAACATTGCGGGTAACTTGCATGAAAACTCGCGTGTAAAACTGTGTGCTACACTTCACTTTTGAGCCCTTCATTTTCACTTACGTGGTTACTTGCAAATTTCCATGCGAACGAAGTCAAGTTTGTGCATAATTCTTGTTACAGAAGCTGTAGTAGTGATTTATTAGTACCATTATTCGTATCTACCGGTAACTGTAGGTGGAGTTGCTTACCCATTCCCACCAGATAGAGAAACATTTTTGTAGACGCATCTAGTCGATTGCGTTGTCGTTGTTGCAATTTCGGTCCTGTTTTGTGTTATTTAAGTAGATCTAATTGTGCAAATAATGAACGCTAATGAAGCTAATAGTCTTACCTTGTGTTACCTTTCATAATACTCCTCTTTTTCTCAACACTTTTTTATCTGTATCCGCAACAAACTCGACAGTTAGCAATTCCAAGCATTAATCGTGCAGGAAGGCTTACAAACTGCGATATAAATAAAATCCTGCTACATACGGAGGCAAACCACTTCGCAATTATGCGTCAATAACTTTTTCGAAGTAAAAAAAAGTTTTATGTGTAGCCTTGCATCGTCAGAGTGAAACACGATTTATTTGCAACTCGCATAATCCCTCTTGCAATAATCATGCCCAGATTTGCAGACGTCAGAAGCTGGTCTGTTCTAACGGAGGTAAAAATTTAAACAAAATCAATTTATTATTAAAAACGCAGAGTTTTGAGTTTTATAATTTAATTGATCCATTGCTTTATTTTGCAGCCTGATGCATGTATGATTCCGATTTTTAAGTTAAATTTGTTGAATAAAAATGAGAAAAGGGCCTTGCCATTGAAAAAAAAACATTCGAAACCAAGATGACACATGTCATAAGAAATAAGCTCTACTTTTGTCAATTTGCTAGGCTAAGAAGTGTTGCACAGTCGCTAAGCTTTTTACATCTGTGAAACAGCAACAAATAAAATGATTTTCTCAGCAGAAAGGTCTGCAAACGACTTGTTGGGAACAAACTGATTCACCCTTGTCAGTGCATGATTCTGTTCCTTTTAGTGCTACAAAACGTTCGAGCAGAGACTCTACCAAACAACAGCATGGTTGTTACATGGACTGCGGATTCAGGACCAATCAAAAAGATCTACCGGGTGATAGTGGCAGATTCCAAGGGTACCACGCGGTACCAAGACATTTGGGCTGCATCGCAGGACAAAGTCTCCGTGATGTTTGACAACCTACGGGCGTATGAGAACTACACCGTCCAAATTAGGACATTTCACGGTGGAAGATACGTGAAACTGGCAAGCATACGTAATCAAGTCCTCCTCAACAGTAAGACAACCTTTACATTTCATTAATTCTACCTTTTTCTAGATTGCATCCGTAGCACATTGATGATCAATGTATTATTTATGGCTACTGCGGCAAAAAGTCGCTAGAGTCAATTGTTTTTAAAAAATGTAGATGTACATTTTGCACATACCTTGAGGTTTCGAGTATCTCCAAACTATTTCCCGTAAAATAACCAACTTTTCACAAGTCCCCTCACTAAAGTGTGCGCACGTGGCCATCTTGCTCTAGATAGACTTGTTTTTACTAAAGTGGTTTGGAGCCCAGCGTTTATTGACTGTTAAATATCCTAATATCCTGGCGTTTTTCAGACGCTGTGCCACAGAAATAAGCTTTTTTGTTTCTTGAGTTTGATTTTGACGTACGTAGACAGACTGTATCTTGTGCCATGCAGTATAAGGACTTGCAACTTCAGTTTTAACTTGCTTTTTACAAAACTTTTTAGTCGAAGGGTTCTTGTTATTGCGCATTTTCCTTAGCTCCGAATGCGCCCAGGCTGAATGATAGCACCTCCAGTAGCATTGTTCTCTCGTTTGATCGATTGAAAGAAGACAAACTGCATGATTTCCAGTACTACGCTGAAGAATACAGGCAAAACCAGACCCAGGATCCAGACGCACGATCTGTTTTGTGCGACAGCACAACAGCTACTTGCAGGATCGATGGCCTTCAATCCAACATGGGATATCGTTTCAAGATAAAGGCGTGCTTGCCCAGACGCTCACAGACTTGCAGTTTAAAATCCCGCCAATCTGAACTAGTTCACACAAAACCAGAAAGTAAGTCGAGTATATAAGCATTCTGAGTGCTACAAATATCCGTTTCTGGTTCAAAATTTGTCAATTAATGCAAATGCCTGTCAGTTAATGTACTGAAATAGAGTTTGTTGTGAAGGCAGCATTTAAAATCAACATTAAGCGTCTCTAAAGCTGTCAAAGTAAAGTCGATTAGTAAAACAACCAACCAACCAACTATATTCACAAATTCAAGCACTTCAATGGACCAAAATGTAGCCAAAGTAGTGAAAAAGACCGGATGAGAAATTGCACAGTTCTTGATTGATCATTGAAGAAACGGCATAACACGCATTAATTCAGTTTGACAAATAACTCAGCTGTTGTCAAGACACATCCCTACGTATTCCTGCTTTTCCACAATTTCATAAGCCCCTACCGCAATAGCCGTACAGATGTCCAGTGCTGACAGCATTGCTGCCACCTACGTGAAACAGCCAAGCCTGGCAAATTTGGCAGTGTTTGTCAAAATAACGGCAGATCGAGGTGAGACAGTTGAAACACGTGAGGCCGCTTGCGACAATGAGGCGGCAACGTGTCGCATAAGCGGTCTCGAAGCAAACCGAGCCTACACCGTGTCTCTCAGAGCCTGCTCCGCCAATCCCGAACCACGCTGTAGCCAGTGGTCTGACCCCACGACTGCATACACCACACCGAGCAGTAAGTCGTCTTACCTTAATATTGAATGCTTTTCAGATTACAGTGCTTTTAACGCAAAGATTTTTGCACAAAACATTTGTGCGGGTCACGAACCACACTGGGGAGGAGGGGTCAGATTGTTTGGGCCTTGTTTGGGAAGATTAAGCAGACAAGTAAAAACGTAAATGACACAAGTCCCTAGTGTTGTGTGTGTGGTTGTGGGTAAGCGAAATGTGATTGTTTGTCGTAGTGAATTGATCAAATCTGATGGTCACCGCCTAAATAAATTCGCAACCAGCTACGATTAAAGATAGAACTATGCATTCATTCATTCATAGGTAATTTGCCGGGGGATGGTTGGCCTAAATCGGCATTGTCATGAAATGATTGGCACCATTGTCCACTGTTGTAAGGCATTTGGGGTGATTTGATAGCGACAATATCATCCTGTGGTGTGTATCTAAAGGACTGATCAAAAGAAGAATGACGCATGATGCGTCTGAGCCGAGGACCATGGAGAACCAAGCGAGAGAGAGCTAATTACTAACGCGAAAGGGTCAGGCAAATACTAAGAGACGCAAACAGGTCGAGTGAGGACGAGGTCCGTAGGAAATAAAATTATTTTTTTTTCAATTTGGGCATGGAACACTGAATTGCCGCGACACCGTAGGTGCCCCACAATTTTGCCAAACACAGTACAATGAAGGCCGACCGTATGCAGGTCTGAACTATTACGACCTAAATACAATTGGGGTTACCTCCAGATGAATGATAAGGCGGGAACAATGAGGATCCGATCCTTCATCCGGTAGCTAAATCGAAGATCTGTACAGGTTTGTTCATGTTTTTGACTGAGCGGGCAGCAAGAACAAAAGAGCAGTTATACAAAAAGCTGTTGATGGCTGCTGTCATCATGGCCCAAATAGTAGATAACGTTTTGGTTGATGTCCTGCACATTTGTGGTAAGTGTAAACAAGGAACAGAGCTAAGGTAGCAGGAATGGATTCAGTTATTGAGATGTCTTTATGCCTATTTTTAGGATTTAAGTAGTTTTCTGTCAGTGTGCGAAATCATGAGAGCAAGAACACCGTGAAATACTGCACACATTTATTCATATTTTGGTTACCAAATCAATTAACCAAACACGAACTTTGATGAGTCGTTTTGAAAAAAATGGCACTTCGGACAGACCGTGAGTAGCTCCACCGAACGTAATACGTAGAAAATTGAAAGGGTGGACATCCTGTGATGAAAACTGAGTGGTTAACTGCATCATAATCATGATTTACCATAATTTCTTTAGTTCCCGATGCTCCAGCCTCGAAAATATCCGATTCTGACAGCATTACTGTCACATATTCAAAGGAGCCAAGCCTGGTTAATTTGACAACGTTTGTCAAAGCCTCGCCACTAGATGATAAGGCAGTTGAAATGCGTGAAGTTGCCTGCGACGCTGAGGAGACAACGTGTCGCATTAATGGTCTTGCACCGAACCGCGCCTACGCTGTATCTCTCAGAACCTGCTCTGCCAATCCCAAACCACGATGTAGCCAGTGGTCTGACCCCACAAACATGTACACCGCACCAAGCTGTATGTCATCCGAATACTAGTTGCCGTTGAGACTGTATGGCTTTTTGTCTGCTACATTTGTTGCTCTTGCACGTATCGACGTTTCTATGTGAATCGTGGGCTCTGGATTGTACATGCGTTACACAATGTGGGAGTCCGGAATGGTTTAGGTGACTGATAACACCAATGTGGCTTATCATTTCATTCTGTGCTTTTACAAGCCATAGTAATGAAATAGACTAACACAGGCTAAGCTGATGATATAAGCTAAATTTATTACTAACTGACATAAGTGGCAATCATGACTAAGGTAATAATCGTTATCACCGATAAGTGCATTAGTCCTTAAAAAGCCGACGAGTGATCGAGATAATTTAATGTCTGGAAATAAGCATTTAACAGAAATCATTGTTATAAATAACTGTGCTTTTGCGAATGCTTCCATCTCATTACTAAAAATTCCAATATTTAAAAATGTGCGTTAGTGGCCTCCCTACTTTGGATGAACTTGCTTTTATTAGTGGCTAAATGGGCCCAAATAATGTTGGACCATTGTAACTCTTGATATCCAGAAAGAAGCATTTACTTCTGCACCCAGTACAATGTCGATGTATATAAATGGTATGAACCTTGAGCAACACGGTATAACGACTCGCAGCTTCATCCTTTACCTGCATTTACATAAATTTTCAGAATTTGTGCTAATTTTTAGCTCCAAATGCGCCCTGGCTGAATGATAGCACGTCCAGTAGCATCGTCCTCTCGTTTGATCGACTGAAAGATGACGAACTGAGTGATTTCCAGTACTACGCCGAAGAATACAGGCAAAACCAGACCCAGGATCCAGACACACAATCGGTTTTGTGTGACAACGCAACAGCAACTTGTAGATTTGATGGCCTTCACTCCAACACGGGGTACCGATTCGTGCTGAAAGCATGCGCGACCAAACCCTCAAAACTGTGCAGTGTGAACTCTCGTGAATCTGACGTAGTGTTTACAAAACCAGAGAGTACGTCATGGCAAGTCAGAGAGTATCAATTTTTCCACAATTCTCTTTTCCTAGTTCGGAATTCGTCAACGAATGTAGATTCGAATAAGTAGTATATTGAAGTTTGTATGCAAAAATGTGGTATCAGCTTGTGGATAGCATTATTTGCCATAGTTTCATGGTTTCAACAATCAAAAGGTTTTTTAAATGAAATTAATAAAGGATAACGGAAAAAACTTATTTAGAAATTATACCCCATCTCACGTAAACTTAATAATCGCTAAATGGCAGTCCCTAAACATACTTGATCGTAAAACATGACTGCGTCCGCTATTTAGAAGAAAATCCTCGAATTCACATAACGCACAAATCAGCTTTTAAACCATTGTCACAGTTCCCAGTACACAGATGCAAAACCCCGAGTGTGGCCGACCAACCCCCTTTTTGCTAAGACGTGATGAGCCTCCCACACTAGTAGTCGGACAGAACACGTATGAGGCAGCGCCTCCCTAGGCCAATGCAGAACACAATTTCGTGCTAGGAACGTTTATCGTCTTAGCCAATGGCTAAGAATGTGTTTACATGTGCCCACTTATGTTTGGTGTAGGCGGCCTTGAGTTAGGGTAGGAGAAACTAGTTCACTCAAAGGTGCATGGACCAATGGAAATCAGGAGGGAAAAAATGAATATGAAATACAGTGTGCATAAACACAGCTGTTTTATAAAAAAAAATTGAAAATTGTGGAAATCTTGAAAGATGAAGTCTTGGGGATGCTAAATCCCCAATAACTATTCACCCTAAAATCGCTTTTTAGAAGCTTAGACGAGTTTGACAAGTACCTCGCGGTTTAGCAAGCCCAATTCCTTCCCATCACTCCTCTTTCGATTGCTTCACTTCCCTCCTTAGCACCCGATGCTCCCGCCTTGAAGGCGTTCGGCGCCAGCGTCATTACTGTCACCTACGCGAACAAACCCGGACCAGGAAATGTGACAATGTTTGCAAGAGCCGCACCAGCAGATGGTGGGGCGCTTGAAGGGCGTGAAATCGTTTGTAACAGGGAGCGATCAACATGTCGGATAAGCGGTCTCAAAGCGGACAGCGCCTATGCTGTGTCGCTCAGAGCCTGCTCCGCTAATCCCAAACCACGCTGTAGCAAATGGTCCGACGCCGCGGCTGCGCACACCACATTGAGCCGTATGTCATCCTGCCTTGTTATCGAATGCCCTGAGTAATAAAATATTTTGTGAAGCCAACATGTCTGTCCTCACACAGGTCTCGAGGCGTGTCATCTTTTACAAGGTAGTGATGGACAAACCTTTGATGATAAACGAAGGGTGGGAGTCGGGAGGTGTTAAGTATGAGGTCGACAATTTCAGGCTTTCCTGATTGTGCGTGCTAATTCACCCTGCTACGAGACAGATAAAATGGCAAAAACACATTTTTATGCACATGTACGGCGAATCGTGTGTGCGATGTGTTGTGGGCCCCAGCATGTGGTCTTGAACCACGCCGGGGCCACGGAATTAACCCTGACCCGATTACGTTTCCCTGGTATCCGCGATGAAGAAAAAGATCGGAGAGAATGTGGACACAACCGTTTACTTCAGAGCTCAACCAAAGCTGGTGTCGTTGGGTCGTGTGTGGGGTTTGCGTGTGTGTATTTATACCTCGGATGTGTGAGTGATACATGTGCTAACATCCACGATAAATATTCGTGTGAATGAAGGGGGAGTTGAGGATTCCCGCGGCTGGCGACATGCTGCGACAAGGGAACCCTGTGTAGGAGGTGGAGCGACCAGCTTAAGGGATTGAATAAACACGATTCACAACAGATGGTTAAAATATATTTCGAGGACTTTCCATTTATATCTGACGGGATACTTCTTGTAATATTATGAACGTAAACTTAAAAATGTCATGATATACAAGTTAATCAGCCCAGAACTTACTTATACGTCTTGAAGTAAGAAACTCCGAAGTAGTAAGCCCGTGTGGTTCAGTTTGACATTTTCTGCATCAAAATCTAATTGAATCACTGGTTTTTTAACGGACGTCGAGCTTCCTGCATCAAATCACACCCTCTTTCATAGCTACGCCTTATCTTTCACTATTAGCCTGTCCGGTAAACCGGTCGTCGCAGCGTCACACACATGTCCCCCTCTTAGTGACGCGCCCCTCAGTCACTGGGACCGCCTGGTCACTCACCCCTCTGTGTGTACCACCCACACCATCCGCTCTAGCCATGTGACCATTCAGACGTCCGTATTTTTGTAAATCCACGCAACTGTATTTGTCAATGCAACACAACTTCGTTGAGCTGCCTTGTAAACGGTCGTGTCTGTCACCTCTGGTTTTCTTCATTGCTGCGGGTACTCAGGTAGAGTAATCGGGTTAAATTTAACGCCGTGGCCCCGGCTTGGTGTAAGCCGCCATGCCGGGGCCCCCCACAAGCAAACACTACCTCCAAAAAATCTTTGCGATGAGCATTTGTAATTATTCCAGAGCTCTGCCTGTACTTACCAAATTTTGGGTCTACCTGGACGTTACTGCAGTTGATATGACAGATTTGCGATTTCAGTGTTTTGTTTATTTGGCTGTGAAATCTATTTACAACTTTTTTGTTGCAGGGCCTCGAAATCTTCTGCTGGAGAATGTATCGTCTGACCATGTAGACGTGTCCTGGGACGAACCTCGATTCAGCAACGGGGCCATCGAAAAATTTGTTGTTTTTGCTAGAGACCAGCAAAATCACTCAGCACCCTGCGTCTTCGGAACTTCGGAGTTTAAGTGCTCCTTGATATCCCTGCAGCCGACCACACGTTACACAGTCAGTGTATCTGCTTGTTCGCCGACAGGTATTTGTGGCGCAGCAGCAAGAAAGTCCATCTGGACGAGACCTGAGAGTATGTTGGTTTCTGAGACCCCAAGTAACGTTGCCACGAAGCATAGGTGTCGAACCACACAAAAATCATGCTACCGAACGTGGAGTAATTAGTAGAGCGAGGTTTGCTAAATTATCCCACCCTTGGCACCACATGAGTTAGCAGCCCAGGCAACAGGCTGTATGGGAACCAGGGGTTCATGCATGGAGTGGATGGGCGTGATGATGGTAACCAGATTGTAGTGAGTCGTGTTGACACTTGACCATCACCAGGGTTGCCGCAGCCTCAAACACGACGTGCCTGTCAGTCATGTGGATGTGCCATCCCAACTACTCGTTCCACTATAGCTTCCTTCTCCTCGAGTGAAAGCAAAAGGGGGCCGCGTGTTGGAGGATGCGGCAACCGGTTTGGTGGTCCAGTATCAGTGCGAATTGGAATCGCGTTATGAGACAAGTGCCACAGTTTCCAGTTTTGCACCCTTATTTTGGTTCTATTTAAGCAATGCGTCATTTTAGCGAACCAGACGCCTTCGGTTTAGTTGGCTTGCCGTGCCGCACTTCACTGTATTACAGCCCAATAACATGGCGTGGACTAGTGCTCTAATAATTAAATGTGATAATAGAAATTCTAAGAACCAATTTTTCCATGTCGTTGGAAACATTGATGAAGAACAGCTTTCAGACAACTATGAAATTCACGGAGCAGTAGTTTCATTGAACAAGACCCCTTCACGAGTGGAATACTTCTGGAATAGGAGCTTTTCTAATGCACTTTGATAAAAAATCCCGGAAAGATTAAAAAGGGTACACCCATTCTACTTCGTCTGCTTCAGTAAAAATCTCACCGTGGCTAACACACCAAAGTCTCACTCAAGTCATTACGTGAGATGGATAAAGTCAATTTTTGTGTTCTACCAGTTGCTATTTTTGGTTACGGCATTATTTGTATCATTTCGTACTGAATTTCGGGACGATAGCAAAATTATAATTTCACAAGCTGCCACCAGTAGATGACAAGGCACTACTGGTATAGAAGAGCATAATGCCGCACTCAGTCAATAGCAGAACGATGGGAAGGCCATATCGTTTCCTGGAAGTAAATGCCTTTAACGTCCGGAAGACTGGCACACTCGCCAATTAGTCAGCCTAACAAAAACATCGACGAATGCGTGACCTCCTGGGTGATGAATGTAGTTTCTAATGCGTACGAGTTTGTCATGCACTATGTTTGTGACAAGGTATTTGAAACACTGACTCCTGTTCGACCAATTGACACTTTTTTGCGTCTGCAATCAAGTTAACGTAGTGAACAGTTTGAAGCTTGTCTCCACCAAATACGACTAGCCTACATCTGGAAAGCCAGAATTGTGCTGCTCGTGATTAGCGATCGTTGCGAGAATTTCCAGGAATCACATTTTTCAGCTGTGGTAGGTATTGTTGGCAACCTAATCATTCGTCGATTTTTAAAGGGGATGCACTCTATTACAGTTGGCATTTAATGCAGCCCATGAAAAGGGCGAGAGCGTTTGCGTAGAAGTTCGCCAGTGAAGGTAAAAGGTGGAATTTATAGCGCAGTTTTAAGCCACTTCCAATAGACCCGGTTTTTTTTGTGGGTTTAAGATATTTGAAGCATCTCTGCCTTGGTGTTAAACCATTTTAAATTCCACCAAGAACTGACTGTTTTGACGCTCCAACCTGCAGCTAGAAAGGCATCCACAAAGAGAGTAGTTGGATTCTAGGGCTGGGCTTCAGCATTTTTGTTTGAATTTACTCACGTGTACAGTTGAAAACTCACGATGCGCCACGTTGAATCAGCTTGAATTGAAAATAATTATCGTCCAAGGTGTGGCAGTAGTTTGAGTGAAACCGAAGCTGCACAGTGACGAGGCAGTTTAGGTGCTCATGATGGCATCGAACAGGGAGGCGGCAATGTTTGTTTGAAGGAGCACTGGAACTAACACTTACGAACGGATTCTGATGCATTTCCACTTGTGGGAGGGCAGTTTGACCCAAATGCCACAAGATTGCCCACCTGGGTCACGTTTTTTGGGAATATTGAAGATTAATTTTAATGCACGGTGTACGTACCAGTAACTATACTTACTTGGCATGCTAGCGAGCTAGTCTACGAATATACCTCCGAGGTAATACACGCGTTCTGTGTCGAAAGTTAATGGACGTGGTAAACTTTAGCTTAAGCGTAAACTAGCTTTGCCTCTCGAAAACACCCTTACAACAGCCGTCTGCCCACACAGCATGAGGGTTCATAAAGTGTGTGTAGTGCTAAATCTTGTTGTCTAGCGTTTTTACGACCCTTACCACCCACGAGCATGTTCTCCCGTGTGTGTTGACGCCCAATTCTTTTAACCAAGAAATCTACTTGCTGAATGCAAAATAAATGACGGTACCAGTGACCACTATATTCCAGTTCCTCCCTCTTAACTTCTGAGTGCAGCGTCAGGCTTAGGCATTCTGGGCGATGGCATGAAGATAAAAAATGGAGGGACTTCAACATGGACACTGACTTTCCAAGTGTGAATCGTCAGTGATATTTAGGCCACGTATCTGCCTTTATTATCGGCTATCGCTGAAACTATCTGGAGAATCCCTGTTAACCAAGTACTTAAAACAAATTATCCTTCAAATTACACGAGGTGGGGTTGATGTTCTTCCGCGTTAATCTCTTCTGACCACCCCAAACAAGATCGCAACCATTCGTCGGACCTGTCAACCTTATTCGCCACGATAAATAGTATATTTGTTCATCATGTTATTATCTTCCTTAAACTTTAAACTGCTGTGATGCTGCTGAAGATGTGTTAGCCATAATACAACCAGGATATTTCAGTGCTGTCCCATGTACTGCCAATTCAAGGAAAAAAGATACCGAAAAATGTTTACATACCAAGTTAAAAGTTACTAAAAAGACTCCTGTTTTCTTGTTTAGAACCATCCAATTTAGTCATATCTCGACAGGAAGTTAATAGCATTAAATGCAAATGGCAAGGACTGAGCTCCGCGAACAAATTCATCCACTACGAAGTGTCGCTACACTATGCCAACAACGAAATTCGTATCAAGACATCAACAGTTCCTGCACACAACCAGGCGACCAGTTTTAGCTATTTACACGCCCACACCGGCTACTCCATCCACCTGCGTGCTTGTGCAAACGACGACAGTGGCCGACCTCAGAATTGTGGTGAAGCCATTAAGACGTCGGGTTACACAAGACCAAGCAGTGAGTCTTGTTTTGATTGGCGATTGTGTGTGACGCCTTAAGATTACCTGGATATCACAAGTTAAATTCTGAGACTGACGAATGTGCTCGACGTTTTGAAACCACTTTATATATATGCATGCACAAAATGTCGTGTATCTTGATTAGAAACGAAAAAGAAGGGACGTGGTGACGTGTTAGACTTGAATTATGAAATTAGTCTAAAACACGTCACAGCAAATCGAAATTTTGCATTCCGGATTTTCAGGTTTAACGATCTGGGGCTGTCAGATCTTGCCATAACACGAATGCACGTCACATTACGTAACCGGAACGGACCTCAATCGATTGGCGCAGTGTTGCGCAGAAGTACCAAGTTCTAGTTTTAGCTCTCTGCATAAAAAAAAGTATAGAAATACTCAAAAATCCCTCAGCGTCCAGCTTTATTTCTGTACACCTCCTACGATGAATAGTGTTTAAACCACAGTCTGAAGTTAGTTAGTGACACACTTAAGGAAATTGGTATTGTGAGAGGTTCACGCAATGCGAACTTGTTCAGCTTTCAAACAGAAGCGGTGGCTTTAATTAAGCCTTCCCAAAAATGCCTTATCAGTTTCGTCAAATTGAATGATAGATTGAATCTGAGTCTGAAATAAGAAGTTAGCTTGAGTCATGTAGCCGTGTCCACAAAGGCGTAGACGCTCATAGGACCACCCGTTCCATCTGTAATTAAAGAGAGTTTAAAGGTAAGGAGTGTGCCATGTATAAGCATTAAACAATCTCCACGCATGCGAGGACAGACATACAAAACAGTCTGCTCAGAACGACCCTCAACTATGCCGAAGCCAGCCTCCCTTCCATAAGTGGAGCACGTCCTTCACAGGGCATGGATTGCTTACTCAGTTCGTGTATTCGCTTCTGTTACTTCCAGCAAATGAGGTGACGTGTCGTGAACTCCGCTCTACGGCAGCTCACATTTCCCACTTGGTTTTCAGAGCCATCTGCGCTGACTGTCATTCAACGCACCTCCTCCACACTCTTGCTTCACTATCGGAAGCAACTTAAGGATAACGAGGACTCGCATTTCAATTACACAGTGACGTATAAATCCGAGGACAATGGTGAAGATAAAACAGGTGTCTGCAATACTTCCACAAAGACCTGTAATGTCACCGGACTCGCTGCAAATAGCAAAGTAACTGCTTCGTTGACGGCTTGTTGCAAGCACAATCTTTGCAGTCCGCCGTCTCCAGAAATTCGCGTGTATACAAAAGCAGGAGGTGAGATTCAGTACTCATTTTTAACAAAATGGCTTTACTACTTGTTTTTCTAAAAGTAGCTTCAGGTAAAATCTAGAGCGTAAAGAAACCAAGAATTGGTTGTTCAAAAAGGTGATTAAAAATCGTAATGTTAGTTTTGTTTTAAAAATATTCAAATTTGGCTGCACAAGGTTAAGCAGAACGGAGGTAGTTTTTAACAAATTTTGTAAAATAATCGATAAAACGAACCGCATCCTTTGTTAACTCCGTTATACCGGAAACACCGCTACTTTCCTCAATAAGGGCAACTGACATTTTAGCGTGTGAAAACCTCCATGTCAAAAGCCTTACGACGACTTCGATTGAGGCATCGTGGTCGAAACCCCGTGTTAACGCTGATGCACTCACCAATTACGAGGCGATTGCTACCGACCCGCAAGGCAGGCAGTCATTCTGTGTGGTGCCTGCCATAAACCAGGAGAGACTAGTCTGCACATTTCACGGCCTCTCACCTTGCTTGGAGTACGCAATCTCAGTCAGTGCCTGTGCCCGCCTCAATGATTGTGGCTTGCCGATCAGCATGAATGCATCTACTCTCCCTGCTGGTAAGCTAACCTATGGCATCTGTGTGTGTGTGTGTGTGTTACACTGTATAGTTCAAACTAACCATCGTTATGTATGAACTCATTTTTTTAAT